TGCTAACGGCTTTTTGCACTTTTTACCAAATAAAAGGGAATTTCTTGTAGAATAAAATGCGCATGACCGTTTGCAAACAAATTTAAAAAAAAAATAGCGCTATTTTTTATATTGCACTTGTTATATGCATAAAACCGCAAAACCCGTCGAAAATAACAAAAAAAATTTAACTTAAAAGGCATTGCAATTATTAAACAAAAAACAGCATGCACTCACTTTTGATTGCCAGTATTCATACATATGTACTATGTGTGTTTAAAATTACCTACTTATGAAATAATTTTTGTGGCATGAACATATTGGAAAATTGGATTCGCATAAAATTTTAATTCCAATAACTAATATTTTAGTGAAAACATTCACAATAAAGCTTTCAGTCGCTTTTGGCAAATTTGAGCGATTATGTGAAATTATGCAGGCGTTTGTACCTACATATCCATTTATATTATTTTAAACAAAGCTAATAGTAAAATTTAAAATCGAATATGGATATGACAATTAAAAAAAAAAAACAAAAAAAAAATTATTACTTGGTCCGTGTCCGGGATTTGAACCAAGACAAACGGCGAGACGCCAAGAAGTTGCATCGCCTCTAGCGTACACGCCACGGCACATTACTGAAACGGCAATCTCTAAATCACTACATATATGAAATTTTTCATTCGTCCAAGAAGACAAACGCATATATATGTGTGCATTTGTAAATGTAAATATGTGCATAAATATGTACGATTGTTCTGCTTTCGTCTTCCCCTCGCCGTCCGCCAACCACAAACAAATTATTACATTTCTGCGAATTGCCACGACGCCACCTAAATTAACCCTTGGTTGACGAAATATTTAGGTTTTCGCATAAGTTTACATTTAATAAAGCCATACTCGTACATTTTATATGGAGAAGAATATTAATTAATTTAAAATTCTGCATGTAACCATGTTCTCGACGATACATGTAACTTTCATCAAGATTAACCATAAAAATTGTGCTTCATTAACAGTTGGAACCAGCTGAAACCAAAAAAACTATGTCCGCTAAAATGTGTTAAAGTGTTAAAAACCAACGGGAATTGACATTTTTTACACGCATTCATGCATACATTCATATACACATGTACAGTGGAGTAGCACTAGCTTGGACATTGCATTGCTTGTACTTTGATGTGTTTGAATCTTTTATGGTACTGAAGATTTGCTTACGGATGAAAAATATTAAAAATCGTCCGTGCATATATGTAAATATACTTTTTATAAACGCTTTGAAGTATAGAAATTTTTAATATTAAAAAATAAATAAAATAATTTTTTTGTATATATGTAAATGGTGTTCAAGGCACATAGACCCACCTGTACAAAAATCGTGGCGCGTCATGGACAAAAATTTTACAATTTCGGACCGAAAAATGTGAAAACGAGCTAAGTTGCCACGTTACATCTGTGAACTTCCGATAAAACCACATATGTTTGTGATTTTAGAAGTTTTGATTTTATTAAAAAAAAAATAATTGTATTTTCCTGCAGAAAACGTACACTTTTATTTAATGTTTATTAAAATGACACTTTAAAATACTAGTTAATGATTGAAAATTGGTATGGAGTGTTTTGTCAAAAATAACCAAAAATTACCAAAAATTGCCAATATTCGATATAACTTATTTTACTGGTTATAGAGAAATAATTGCCACTTTTCACTTGGCTGGCCGAGATTTCTTCATTTTAAGATTTTAGAATTTTTGTGTCGGATTGACAAAGTTGCGCTTGTTGGTGATGAATTTGCGGGGAGATGTGCTGCGGTTGTTTTTATGAATGAATTTACTTGGCCTTGAGAAATATGCGCATGCGTTTATGAATGAAATAGTTATTGTTGTATTTGAATATGCGCGTAATTATGTATGTGTGTATGTATGCTGCCGTGAGTTGTACATATATACATTTGTATATATGTGCGTGGTACTTACACAGCAATATGCACGTATGTATGTGTGGATGTACTTATATATGCATGCAAAAACGTTGTCAATTCATTTGACTCCAAAACTATTGGGGCATATTAGTAGACGAAATAAAGTCGACTCTTAAGTTAAAGTTTGTCAGCCCCAAATAAGAAGAAAGTTAGTATGTATTTAAATACATATATGTAATATTATGTGCATGTGCAAGAACGTTATCAATAAATGATTTTGGAGTATGTGTATTGGGTACATATTTACATATGTAAGTACATACATACATACATTCAGCTGCCATCAACAAATTATGTTTATTTATTTTTAATGATTTTCATTTAAAATATAATTCAATCTGGAACAGAAACCACAATAATAAAAGTTTAAAAGCTTGCACAAATTGCAAAAAAATGAATCAACCTTCAAGAAATGGTCATCCAAATTTTTTATTTGAATATTTAATATATTTTCGGGTATGCAGTATTGTAGTCCATTCAATTATATTACAAGAAAGTGCAAGTTTCAAGTTGTTAAAAATTACCGTTGATTTTTTAGATTTTTTTGTTGGGGTGTTGCTGTTTATTTTTCATACAAAAAAAATTGGTTCATGTGTTATATGGAAGAAAATGCGAACACCCTCCACAAAAAAAAAAATCTAAGAAATCAACGGTAATTTTTAACGACTAGAAACTTGGACTTTAGTGTACTTGTTTGAATGGACTACAAAGCTGCATACCCGAAAATTTTCTAAATATTCTAACTAAAAATTTTTAAATTTTTATAACAATTTTTTGAAGTTTAATTAATTATTTTGCAAATTGTGCAAGCTTTAAACTTTTATTATTGTGGTTTCTGTTATAGATTGAATTATATTTTAAAGGGAATTATTAAAAATAAATAAATAAACATAATTTGTAAACAATATCATTTTGAATTTCGTTGCTAATTAGTTGATCGCATCTGTATGTACTACAAGCATCCATATGCGCATGCCTGGGAAATGGATTTGCATTTTACTCCAGAACTATTACCTATTTACAAATAATATCTACGAGTATTGCAGTAAAACTCAAAAACAACTTTGAAGTTAACAAACACATTGCTTTATACATTTTTTTGTTAATGCGTCCATCTTTAAAGTGAGTATGTGAAAAAACCAATTTTATCATTTTTTTAACTAACATGCATTTTTACTATTTACATAATATAATACTCGTACAAGAAGCGAACTTGAACAGATGCTTTTTAAGTTTTTAGCAACATTAACTACTGAATAAATTATATTTAACAAATGGTCATGCAGAAATGAAAGTCAGCAATTTTAACTAATATAAAAGTACATTTAATATAATTTAACTAACGGGTGATTTTTTTGAGGTTAGGATTTTCATGCATTAGTATTTGACAGATCACGTGGGATTTCAGACATGGTGTCAAAGAGAAAGATGCTCAGTATGCTTTGAAATTTCATCATGAATAGACTTACTAACGAGCAACGCTTGCAAATCATTGAATTTTATTACCAAAATCAGTGTTCGGTTCGAAATGTGTTTCGCGCTTTACGTCCGATTTATGGTCTACATAATCGACCAAGTGAGCAAACAATTAATGCGATTGTGACCAAGTTTCGCACTCAGTTTACTTTATTGGACATTAAACCAACCACACGAATGCGTACAGTGCGTACAGAAGAGAATATTGCGTCTGTTTCTGAGAGTGTTGCTGAAGACCGTGAAATGTCGATTCGTCGCCGTTCGCAGCAATTGGGTTTGTGTTATTCGACCACATGGAAGATTTTACGCAAAGATCTTGGTGTAAAACCGTATAAAATACAGCTCGTGCAAGAACTGAAGCCGAACGATCTGCCACAACGTCGAATTTTCAGTGAATGGGCCCTAGAAAAGTTGGCAGAAAATCCGCTTTTTTATCGACAAATTTTGTTCAGCGATGAGGCTCATTTCTGGTTGAATGGCTTCGTAAATAAGCAAAATTGCCGCATTTGGAGTGAAGAGCAACCAGAAGCCGTTCAAGAACTGCCCACGCATCCCGAAAAATGCACTGTTTGGTGTGGTTTGTACGCTGGTGGAATCATTGGACCGTATTTTTTCAAAGATGCTGTTGGACGCAACGTTACGGTGAATGGCGATCGCTATCGTTCGATGCTAACAAACTTTTTGTTGCCAAAAATGGAAGAACTGAACTTGGTTGACATGTGGTTTCAACAAGATGGCGCTACATGCCACACAGCTCGCGATTCTATGGCCATTTTGAGGGAAAACTTCGGAGAACAATTCATCTCAAGAAATGGACCGGTAAGTTGGCCACCAAGATCATGCGATTTGACGCCTTTAGACTATTTTTTGTGGGGCTACGTCAAGTCTAAAGTCTACAGAAATAAGCCAGCAACTATTCCAGCTTTGGAAGACAACATTTCCGAAGAAATTCGGGCTATTCCGGCCGAAATGCTCGAAAAAGTTGCCCAAAATTGGACTTTCCGAATGGACCACCTAAGACGCAGCCGCGGTCAACATTTAAATGAAATTATCTTCAAAAAGTAAATGTCATGGACCAATCTAACGTTTCAAATAAAGAACCGATGAGATTTTGCAAATTTTATGCGTTTTTTTTAAAAAAAAAGTTATCAAGCTCTTAAAAAATCACCCGTTATATTAATTTATTTAATTTTATTAAAAAAATATACATGAATACGTTTCTGCATTCACATGCAACCTAGCAACACATAGCCAGACACTTGCAACAAATATAACATTATCATAACAGAAATTTACATTTTTCTCTGTTAACTCTTCTTGAAATGTTACTCGCGCTGTGGTGATATTCCATGGATTTATTTTTCAGCCAAACAATTTTACGTTCCAAAAATTTGCACCTTCTCTATCTATCTAAGTTCTCTG